AGTAGTAAAAATCAGGGTGTAACTCACACTTTCATGAAAGGAAAATGCTCTTCAGTCTGTCTCAGCCAATTCTATCACACCAATGGGCAAATTGTCTGTGGAACTGGAGTTAGTGATTTTGTCCCAAAAGTATTAATTGAGTCAGGTTTAGACACATGAATGGCAATAGCAGAGAAGGGCTTGCATGCAGCTGCTTGAGACAGAGCACCAGAAATCCCAGGAAAGACAGGGAGAAGTGGCCTGTGTGAAAGTTAATGTTCTCCGTGGTCATAAAACTCAGCACAGGCTTAGGGGCATTCCATGGCTTTGGGTTGAGTCACGCAAGTCTCATGGTCTGAATGAGATTAATGATGATGACGATTCAGGCATGTCTAGTACTTTCTGCATTTCTTAAGAGCTATTATTAAACAATTTTGTCTTTCAGCTGTAGCAAATCACATGGATGTCAGGGAAAGATCATGGCTTGTCAGCCTCCAAAGCGGGGGCAGAAGGGAAGGTTTGGTTTGTGAGTCCACTCTGAATCAGCTCCTTTGAAACCTCAGAAGGGTTGAAGGGACCAGTAATAGTTTGGCACACAGCGTGAGTTTTGCATTGCCTTGTCTCTTGAAACAGAGAAAAAAAAATCAATTTTTGCATAACTGCGTTAAAGCCAGCTAAGTAACCTCAACATAAAATTAATGGATTCGACCGTCCTGCACTATGGGAAAAAGGTGGAATATGTGTTGAGATTTGGATTTGACAGTCAGGTTTATTCCTTAACTCAAAATTAGTCTATGTCTCTCAGCATGGGAAAAAGCATTTAAGGTGTTAATTTTGTTTAGACCCTGTCTTTCATTTTTCGTTTTGTATTGATATGACTAGAAATATTTTCACTAATTCAGTTAAGGGTATCCATTCTCTGGATATTAAAATATGAGATCATAAAGTAAAAACTCTGAGTTCCCTGACAGCTCTGGGCAGTATGCTCTGCATCTGCATTTTGCCCTTTCTAAAATGTGGTAATTCACAGAGGAGATGCGGGGTTTATGCGATTTGCTTAGACTTAGACTGTGAAATCTCATGTGAGTTTTAGGTACTGCTGTAGTCCTTTTTTCCACACTCACTGCTTCATAGAGTGTCTGTTCTACAGCAATGTTCCAAACATTTTTAATAGGAGGTGTAGAAGATATCATCAAAATAAAAACAAAACATGCTGTCTCAGCATTACTTTAAGGCAAAGTGCCAACCAACTGGATGGCCTCAAAACCAGTTCTGAGAATTGGATTGCCACATTTTTGCCCAGGGTTACCCGGACACCCGCGTGATATCCCACACTGCATGGGCGAGGCTTCCTGGGAGCTTTGGTCCTTCTGTCTATGTGTACCGTGCAGTTGGTCAGCATACGTGCAATAAGCCTGGTATTTCCCAGAAATGTCCTGGTGTACAGTTTGTATGCTATAGAACCAGGCTGAGCATTTAATGGAAAATGGACATGCATGCAACTGTAGCCTATGAGTAGTTCCAGAGTTGTGTAAATAAGCCTATTTATTTTCAACAGTTAGAGTTTAAGGAATTAGCTGCCTCATAAAGTGGGATTCTGACTGCAACTGGATCTCTGGGTGGTAACGGAGCTTATATTGCAGTGTTTTAAAACCATGAATGGGCTGAGGCTTAATGACAGCTGAATCAAACTGACTCTAAACAAAAGTGAACTTCATTTAATATTTCAGTGAATCTAGGGTGGGCTGCAAGATTCAAATGCAACCCAAAGCAAGTGGATGTGGTATCTGCTTTCATAGTGAAAGTTTTTCTGAATTATCCTAAATTTATTGGATGAGATGTTGATGTTCCAAACAAACCTAATTCCAAAATCACTAAGCTTTTTACTTTTAAGTAATTGAATAAATCTTTGTGATCTGATCCCAAAATTCAATATTAAGTCTTGGGCTTCAGAGAGTATGTTTAATTACTAACAAATTTAGGTTTGCCTTGTTATACATGGAAGAGAGAATCAAGAATGGAAAGCTAAAGAGAAGCCTTTTTCTTCTCTAGGTCATTTATGTTTAATACAGGTACTGACTGGACAACTTCCCAAATAATGTCAGCCTTTGAATATGGGACATTCAGAGACAAAGTAGAAGTCACCCGTGTGGCAGCTGTGAGAGCAGCTCCATCCCTTAGCAGTAGTCATGGGCCACATCCTTCGGTGCAGAGTAGCTATTCATTGTGTTGTCGTCAGAAAGCATCCATTGGGATCCGCAACCTGAACATCTGTTGACTACATTTCTGACTTGCGTGTGGTGCTGTTCAGTGACGGGTGTGACTGCAGAAGGTTTCTAATCCATCAGCTATCCCCAGGACCTGTGCACATCTGCGTCTGGCACTTGTGGAAGCATGGTGACTATTTCAGAAACATGTGTGGGAACTTGCTGAGACTACTATTCTATGTTAATCCACTAGCTTCTCCTCAGACTGTGAAATTCAGCCCCGTTGCATGATATTAAGTCCTCCAGGAAAGAAAAATTAATTTGTTAATGTCCTCTTCCACACATATTCCTCATTCTTGCCTTCAAAACCTCTCATGACATGTCTGTCATCAGAGAAATTTTAATAGAATTATTTTTCCCTGGAAGAAAACAGCTGTGTTGAAATAAAGGCATTTTGAGAAAACATGTTAGTCTTGCATGAATTTTACAAAAGTAAAAATTATGTCCTCTTGGTATTTTTTTCTAACATGATAATAAAAATATTAAGAATGGTAATAATCAAGACTGTTAAACAGATATACAATGTAAATCAATTTTGTCTACACTGAATGTCCTTGTCAGCCTAAATAATTGGAGGGGCAGGTGGAAGAAGAGATATTTTTTTATGTTCTTTTTTTGGAGACGCAATCCAAGTAACCATAACGATTAATTCTGTTGCCTGTGGTAAAAGTGTTTAACACTGGATGCTCAGCTTTTGAGCACCTTTGGACAAGCAATCATCAATACTGTTGGACTCCTACCTGTGCTGTGAATAATGGTTGTCTTCTCATGCACCATACAGTCTGGATCTAATCTGGTACTTTATCTCCTTGATTGTTTCCTGTTACCTGTGGAAAAGAACATTCCTTGCAGTTTACACTGAGTGGATACCCTGTAGATAGAATAAGCTCAGTTTACCTATGAACGAAAGCAACTGAGGGAAGAGGGCACGCCTTGATTACTGTCATTTATTTTCACATCTATGCTATAGAAGAAAATAAACTGTCAAGCGAAAATGACATTAGGAAAGTTGCTTGTTATTCACACAGATTATGTCAATGCAAATGTGCATGAAGCTCATTTTGTCTCCTTTAGGAAAATTATATTTATTATATGGCACCTTTTATTTCAAATAGATGATATAGATACCCCCTTTGGGTATCTGTATTTGGAGAAGACTGGTCTGTTTTTCCCTTTCTTGCACATGGAACTCCCATTAAAATTTATATAAAAATGAGTCATGCTTCTCTCTTCACAGGGAATAATAGGCTGCTCCAATTAAGTGTGCTTTGCAGTTGTCATTCTAGTCTGGAGTTGCAACCACTTTTTCCTCTTGAGGGAAGGGTGGGGCAGGAGCAAAATTAATTCACATTGCTTTGAAGCATCCTGATCTTTCCCTGTTTTCTCTGCCCACATGATGATGATGATTGATGATTAACTCTTTCTTAGCTGTTCCTGTTAAAAAAGATTATAAACAAATGTTTATTTTTCCTCTCATTTTATTTAGTCACAGACTTTCCTTGTTTTATACCATTTTCCCACTGTGCCTGTTGCATTGTGCAGGCAGTGTCTTCCCAACACAAAGATTAATAGAGTGTGATCTCCTTAGAGCCTTTAGCCCTTATGCCTTTTATTCAGTGTCTGTAGTGAATTGTATGAGGCGCTCCCCTCAATACAGGCTTTGCATGTACTGCTTCTTCAGCTTCCCAACCCAAAGGCCAGAAAACAAATTGCACAACATAACTATGGCACCTAATTTTTTCAAATTTAATTCATTATTTTTTATCCTCATACTGCTTGCTAGTGAAAGATACTTCCATGTGCAAACCTTTACAGTATTATTAAATGAAAATCCATCTAAGACATCCTTTAACATTAAATAAGCTTTCTGCAGTACATATTGAAACTCCGACATTGGTTGGAATTAAGATGTTTGCGTGCAAGCATGAGCTCAGCAAGAGCTTTTCAAAATGGAGGGAAATATTGTGAAGATGAATGAACAGGGAGTAAGAAGTTCATTCATGTGAACTGTTACATAGAATGTATTTGACACTTCTGTATCTGCCCCAGCAGGCTGAATAAGAAGAGCTTAAAGATTATCTTTCAGGGAGTATTAAACAGCATAATGTTGCTCTAGTTCTGTCTATCTGTGCAGCTCATTTTAGTTTTTGTCTCAGCCAGATCATGGAACATCAAGCCAATGCAAGCTTTCTCTTTTTGTCTAGCTAATAATAAGAACACATTGCTTGAAGTAGTTCTGAAACTGGGGATTGATGTATATATTAATTTAAAAGGATTCACTGTGAAGGGATCACAATGAGATAATCAAGAAACCTTATGATCATAAAGGTTCTGATAATACACCATTTCATCTTTAAAATAACCTGTTATGAATAGAATATCTTGCTTTCAAATGCATGTGAATATTCTGTTAGTTTTGCAGTGATGTGGCTTCCAAGACTTTCACGATGTTTTTACATCTTCTGCATGTTATTGTTAATGGTATGTTAAAAGTGCTAGATAACTCACAAAAACGTGTTGTATTGCTGTTTTTGGAAAGGCTAAAGGTGTGGCTTGTGTCTCAGCCCAAAGAAGGGAATTGTAAAGAAGGTGATTTAAAGTGCCAGCTCTCTTTATGAATGAATTGGTAGCTGCCACTTGTGGCTGGTTTGCATTGAAAGCACCATACTTGAAAATAAATAATTTCTAGGTCTTTAGTGAAGCATTAAGTCCAACAATTTGTAAATATTTTTTTTTATTTTCTTTTGATAACAGAATTCAATGTAAGTTGCAGATATGGAGGAGTTTTTCATGTTGAGAAAAATGGTCGCTACAGTCTCACACGATCTGAAGCAGTTGAACTCTGCAGAGCTCTCAATAGTACCTTGTCAACACTAGAGCAGTTGAAGAAGGCTCATGAACTTGGATTTGAAACTTGCAGGTAAAGAAATACTTGAAAAAATAATATATCATGACAAGTCCATCCATCCGTGCTAGAGCATAATAATTACAGTTGGCTTCACATACCTGTTAATTAGATGGCTGTATCAGTCTTCAAGCAAGTTATATTTTGTGTATGTGTATGTTTGCTCTGGGTCAGGTAATAAATAAGTCCTTGACTATATATAATTTTTACCAATGATCTTAAAAAGATTGTAACCTCTTACACATAAAATATAAAGATAACAAAAGATTGACAGTATAATAAACTAATTAAGATGTTCAGATCATACTGTATCACTAACTAATTGGTAAGATAATATGTGAAAGGTATTTAATGACCCGATGTGAGGTCAAAGACTGAAGAACATACACATCCAATATAGGGAACTCTGCCTTGTCAAGAAACAGTAAAAAGCAGCAAGTGGTACTGTGAGGGATGAACTCCTGACATCACTCCCACTGAAAAAACGGCCACAGTGTTAGTGCATTTTTATAATCTGTGAATGGGGAAATTCCAGAAGACAGCCATAACAATGACTAAAACCCCCAAAACCATGTTGTCAAGTGACTTAATTACCCACTTTAATTAATGATCCAACAAATGTGGATAATACAGGCTCTTCAGTTTAGCAAAAAATAACTAGACCAAGATGCTGGAAGTTACAGAATATTTTGGATTCAAAAAATTAAGTGAGACTAATACAGCAAAATAAGTAGGGGTAATAATTATTAGATGAAACAACTTATAGAGGTTGTAGTAGATTCTTTATCACACCAAAATTTAATCAAGATTAAATATTTTCCTCAAGGATGTCCTCTGTTCAAACAGTAATTAACTTTGGACAGTCCCATGGTCTGTAAATACATCAGACTAGATGATCATGTGCTCTTGCTTTAAAAAATACATAACACACTTATTATGTAAGTTATCCTAAACATTCACATGCAGAAAAATGATTGAACTCAGGATCTGTAAACTTGAAGGGGTTTTTTTTTTTAATCAAATAACAGAGGCTCATGTTGGTAAACTGTTATAAAGTTGAAACAAATTTCAGTACATTTGCAACTTTATTGCAATCTAAAATAAACAGCAAATATGGAGAAATGGAATTTATCTTATAACTGACTGGAGTAGAAAATTTTAGTAGATATTTGTCCAAAATTTTACGACTTTCATTCTGGTATCATGAGAAATAGTACCAGCATCAATACTGCTTGCAACTATTTCCTGTGAATTGTTTCATTTCTGTTTGGTCAGTGGTGATTTACTTTTTAAATGCCTAATGCGTGAACGTTCTTTCCCATTGGCTTGCAAGCCTGCGGGTCTTGAATAAAGCTTCCTTCATATTAATAGCATCCATATGAAGTAATTTGTAACCATGGAAAGATGTATGTGCAGTGCCTTTAAAATATTCTTATACATATAAATGTTGTGCACTGCCATTGATGACAGCATATGACACATTCATTTTCACAAGCATTATGTTCTGCCTGATGGTGAAAGAGGTGGACAATACTGCCAGGGAATAATGGACAGAAAATTCCTAGAAGATTCTTCCATGAGAAGTGGGAATGTCATTTAAAACAGTACCACGTCAAGACTAGAGACAATTCTTTACTCTGGGGGAAAAGTCCTGCATAACATAGTAGGCACGTTCTTCCTCTGATATTAGCATATGAACATACTGAGCATTCTGAATTGCCCAGCACTGCGCAGTATGTAGAGACCGAGAATCAAATCCTAACTAAGTGCCTAGGGTTAGAGATTGCTAGTGATAGCAATGATGAGTATTCTGCAATGTGGAAAGTCTTTTCTGAAGTTAAAATATAAAGATAATTGGAAGAAGGAGTAGAGGGAAATGTTTTTTGCAGCGGGGAGCTGAAGTTTTTCATTAGTGTTACAATTCTCCCTGATTCACAGTTTAGCAGAGGACAGATTTGGACATGCAAGGTATATAGATTGGACTCCTTCCTCCCTTCCTTCTGGCCAGCCCTCCCACTCTACAAAGCTTGAGTAGGAGAGAAAAAGTATACTGCATATAATCATCAAAATACACGTGGAATGGTGAGTGAATAAGATGAATCAACAGGCCATAACATGAGTAGGTGATTACTGGATTATGCAGTGTCAACATCGTAGACTCAGTTGGAAGTGTGAGTAAAGCAGTTTATAATTCCATCTACAAGAGTTTCAGAATTGTAAGTATTTGCACAGTAGACATGTAACCGGAATGGGGCTCACAGGTAAAGCTGTGAAATTTACTCCTCCTGATAAACTGTACCTCTCAAGAAGTAAAACAAAACTCAAACCAAACCCCAGTTCTCATTACCATTCTATCACACCTCCCAGATAAATGCATTGGAGTTAATCAGGTGTTACAGGATTGCAAAATAATGATAATGTGTTGTGCATTATTGAGCTCTGTAAACCACAGTCTTCACTGAAATGTGCGAGCCCTGCACACAATAGCCACATTTTTCCACTGAAAGATACGGTAAGAATTTGTGGATGAGTAAGTGTTGTATCTGGATATTTTACTAAGCTGTTGGCTTTTGCAGAAAGTGATGTGTCTTAGAATCATTCTCTAAATTTGCTCAGGTACTATAAATTTGAGCCCCCGACATTTCTGTGTGAAATGTCACTGAGCGATACGTTATGCTCAAAGCAACAAAAATGTGAGTCCCTGAAGAAAAAATAATCTAGTCTTTAGTGTCAGGTAATACAACCTCACACTGAATAAAAAGTGCACTTGCTTCCCAGTCCCTCGCTTTCACTGCCTTGCTCTGGAACCGATCGTCCTAGCTAATAAGATGCTCACTTAAAATGGGTTTAGCTGTAGAAATTACATGCAAAATGGTGTTGAGTGGCTGGAGACTGATGTAGCTACCTGTGAGAAAGGACCACCCTTCATGTACAAAAAGTATGCATAAACACATGCACTTTTAAAAAAATAATGATGAGGGAAAAAAAGATTAAGATAATGGCTTCTACGTAGCTTCTTCATGTTTGAGCTATCTAGAACATTTATGCCATCTGCTATAATGGTGTATTTCCCTCTGTTCTTCACAGGTATGGTTTTGTAGTGGGGAATATTGTTATCCCACGAATCAACCCCTATCATCTTTGTGCTGCAAATCACACTGGCGTTTACAAACTTTCATCAAACACAACTGGTCGGTATGATGCATACTGTTACAATGCGACAGGTATGTATATGCTCTTATGATGTATTCTAGATATAGATTAACTAACAGTAACATATGTAATCTCCTATTTAAAGTACTGGAATGTGGGCTTCTATATTAAATATAATCTGTTTTTCAGCTGAGAAGAAATACATGAATCTATATACCTATATATATATATCATGTGTATATATATACATATATATATATAT